CTATAATCCATTCAACCAATGATGCTGGGATGTCAATACGAAGCATGGCTCGTTTTAAAACCTCTAATCCCACTGAGTCAAACGCCTTTTTCATATCCTGTGTGAGGACCCATAGTTTCTTACTGTTTTCCCTGGCATCCTCTATAAAATTGTTAACTAGGTGTATTGGTTCGCTTGTGCATTCTCCGGGTAAACCGCAACAATTGTATCCCTGTAGTACGTTACATTGTTTCAAAACCGAATTCAACCTATTCGTGATCATCTTTGTAAAGGTTTTCCGAAAACAATCCAACAATGCAATAGGTCGAGTATTCAAAATGTTGTATTCAAAGTTGATGGGCTTAGGTATGGGGAGAATGACCGATGTTTTCCATGCCATAGGCACAAGTCCAGTTTGTAGTGTCAAGTTTCCGAACTTGACCATGAAGAGGATTAATTCCTCAGACAATTGTAAGATGATTCTGTAATTTATACCAGACAACCCTGCAGCCGACTCTTTATTTAATTCTTTAACGGTATTATTCCATTCTGCCATAGTGATTTTTTCTATTGTAGATTCCATCACTTCTTTGAATTTACCTACGGGTTCATAAATTTGTCTCCAAATTGGTGTCATTGTATCCAGCAGTGTGTTTCTTTTCCTAAACATGTTCGCGAAATCATTGTCCACTGCTTTTTTAACTTCTCTCGGTTCTGTAGCTAGTCTTTTAGTCGAAATTCCTGTTTCCTCATTTACTAACACTTTATCTATAACTATATTAGTGAGAGTGTTTCTATCTAATATGCTGGATAGCCATTTTGTTTGATAATCTCGTGTAATTTCTACTCTCTTGTCTATTCTATCTTTAATAGACTTCGTTTCTGCTGATTTGTATTTTTTGTAATCCGCTCTCAGGCGGTAATTCACTTTTGTTTTAAGAGTATCAAACCACTCTTCTGAAAATATGCCATGCGTGGTTATGTTACACTTGTAATTGTCCTTAGTCGATGTAACATAGTCTTGATTATATTTAGCAATTTTACTTGTCCATCTGGATTTGGCGTTTTCGGTTGTGATCATTTGTCGGTTTCCATAGTAATAGTTATGTAATAGCTTAAGTAATTTATTTGTATGTCATTCTGGTCTCGATTTTTTCTTGTTATAACATTTAAAGGTTTATGGTACCTAATGTCTTTCCTAGGGAGCTCTGTATCCGCTGCATATACTATAATACCATTGAGTTTGTCCCAGTATCTATCTATATCTTCTTGGGAATACTCCTTGAAGTTGGCTCTATTCTCAAGTAAATCTCGATCAAGAGAGTTTAGTTGATTTTTTATATTAAGCCGGAAGTTATCCCACCTTTCTGTTTCGATGTTGTCACAATCATACATAACTCTGGAGTGGGTATTACCTGTAGGTAATTTGTCATATACTGTGTTTTTTTTATTGTTTCGTATAAGGTCAGAGGTGTCCATGGTTAATGTGATTATATCGTGATCACTGTGTGTGATAAACGTTGAGGGAGTAATTGAAAAATTCACTAATTTATTGCTATGGGTTTCTGATACCCAAATTTGGTCTATTCTCGTGCTAACACCTTCTTTGTGATAAGTGTTGCCTTGCGCTTCTTCATCAAGTTTCCTATATGAATCTATAAGGCCCAATGTTTCTAGATCATTAAAAAATTTGGGTCTGGAAATGTGTTGTGGTGGAGTACGATCGATAAGGCCGTTTGTAATTAAATTAAAGTCTCCCATTAATATATGTATTATATTATTTGATTTTTTGTATATAGTTTCATCGCGCATTTCTCTTTTAAGTTGTTCCAGGGTCTTGGGGAGGATTGTTTTGTTTTGTGGTGCCGCGTAAACAATCCAGATACAAAATAGGACATTTCTAAATAAAAAGTATACTGAGAGCAAATATGGCGAATGGATTTTGTGTCCTTGATAATGTTTATTCCATTTCCTTGAACATATTAACACCACTCCTGATCCCTTATGTTTGTCGCACTGTTTACTAGACCAATAAATATAAAATTGCTCTTTAAAGTTGTCAGGAGTTTTGAAAACACCGTTCTTTTGGTCTAGATTAATTTTGTTTAAGGCCATAATGTCTACTTGATTTTCTTGCATCCAATTTAGTATTCCGTAAAGTTTTGCATTGTCACCTGCCAGTCCGTTGATGTTGTGGGTTCCAATGTGAAGTGTAAGGTATAACGC